CCCAGGTTCAATAGTGAACTAGCCAGACATTGTCTGGACTGGTCTTACTAGAAGCCGAATTAGATCTGTGCATCAACTGGACTCCACACTGAGAGGACAAGGAAAGAACATTTTGTTAGGGCCACTGATGAGAAGGATCCTGAACTGATGAGAATCTTTGCAATTCCAGACTTATTCTGTGCAAAATTCAAATGTGGGTGTTTTATACAGAAAACAGCATTTTCTGCATGGGAAAACATTTTTCTGTGTAGAAAATAATATTTCAATGAAAATATTTTAACTCCTATAAAAAAAAATGCTGTTTTCTGTGCAGAAAACATTGTAATTGGGAATTTGTTCTGCTTAAAGTTCACACATAGTTAATTTGCATAGAAAACAACATTTTCTGCAGAAAACAGCATTTCCTGGACAACAAATTAATAATAATTCTTGGAATATTTCTTGAAATATTTCAGTGAAATATTATTTTTCATACAGAAAATGCTGTTTCGTGCACAGAATATGCTGCTTTCTGTGTAAAACAACTGTGTGTGAATTTTGCTGCCTTTGCAACAAAACTTTGTGCAGTTAGGTGTTCTCCCAAATATCTCTGCATTATATGATGTTGGACAAAGTATAGGAAACAAATGCCACTTTTGGTAGCTGGTAAGAACACCTGTGCCCTTGTCACCATATGAAAACAACAGCATCCTCTTAAGACAATGGAAAAGAATGGAAAACCTCTGCTGAACAAATCTTACCAAGAAAAACCCATGATAGATTCAACACAGGATCGCCATAAGTTGGAAATGACTTGAAGGCACACAGCAACAACAATCACTGTGCCACTACATCCCCTAGGGCTAGTACATAGGCACCTTTTATTTATTTTTTTGTCACAAAGCAAAAATAATGAGTTGCCAAGAAATATAGAAAGCTAATAACAACATGGTTTAAGAAGTTGGAGAAAGGAACCATGTCTTTTCTTGAACTGGTATATTCTACAGTGTTGGCAAAGCTGCTTATTTAGTTACCAACTGTAAAAAAATAGCTAACAAGAAAGTGACTGATCTTTAAAAAAGCCAGACAGAAGATCAAGCATGAGTGGTCAGGTCAACAGTCACAAAACATATCCAGAATGCTTCCTTCTTTTCTTCCTGTGGTATAAATCCTTTGCAGGCACTCAGCATCTGCTGGTTTGTATATCTTCTCCTCATTAAGTTGCCTGTGAGTCAGATAACTACCCAGGGAGAGCACCTTTATGCATCTCAGCTGTGCTAAGCTATGTTTGTTGCTGTGCATGTCCTCACAGGGACTTGAGACTAGCAAAGCCAATGAGCTTATGACAAGAGCAGCTGGAGCTTCATCTCATTAAAGGCTAGCTCTCTCATTATAGCTCTTTCTTTGTCATTTTTCTCTTTCATTTTCTCTGGGAAATATAGTGTGGCTTTAGAACATTTTTTTATGTGTCTGCAACAGACATTCTTCATAAGCAAGGAAATGACAATTAGCTGAATGGTCCAAATCTACACAGGCAGTGAAACTACTCTGTTTGACTATTACTACTTCCAGAGTTATTTGTGCTTGTATAAGAGGCATCCAAGTGAAGGGTTCTATTCCCAACAGAGGTTCAACACCAGGATAGCTCCTATGTAACACAAAGCACCTGTAGGTGTGGCCATAAATCCAGGAGCAAAGTCAATAGATCTTCCCTGGAAATGATCTACATGGATAATGCTCCACAATCCACAGTTGGGTAATGCTGTTATTAGAATCAAGCTAAATAATCTAGATTAGTGGTACTGAAGGTGCTTCCTAACAAAGCTTTTATAGTGCATTTCTGGGATTTTATGAGGTCTATATTAGAAAAGAAAAAGAATTTTGCTGGAGTTAAGATTCTTGATTGTGTATTGATTGTGGAACTTCTGAGGCTCATTATGAGACAAAGGATGCCTTGCTTTGCACGTTTGCACATATACGAAATTCACAGTGCACTCCAGAGAAATAAAATACACTTGAAATTAGCTGTACTTTTTTAAAAAAATGCAAAAAGGCTAAACATGCATAATTAAAATTAATGAAATGAAATTAACACAATGCCCCCCCCCCCAGCTATGCACCTAAGCAACAGAAGATCTGTTGTGGTGAGCCTTGTCAGCACTCTGCATTCTGTTGAGCTGCTTGTCCAGTTGAACTTGATGGTGACCATTAATGTCATACTAACTACAGAGTTCAGGCATCATGAGATCCTGATGTGTTAGCCTCACAAGGCTTGGAGATTGCATGAAAGCCCCTCATTTCATGTGGTCTCCACAGGCCTTAAACCAGCCTATGCTATACTGGTCAGTCTTTGTTTGCTGGCTGCCCACTGCTGCTGTTTGAGTTTCCCTAGAAATTTGCTGATCACCTATGGAAAGGAATATTTTTAAATCATTGTGGGTTTGTGTCATTTTTTACCCCCTGGGGATTATTTGAAGGAATAGGAAATGAGAGGGACATTGACAAAATGATTGTACACATATGCTTTATCTTGAATGTGCTTTCAGGTAATAATGTCACTGCTTGCAATATCACAATTGAAGGGGATTAAAGTGAGTTGTGGATATGGGCACTGGAGATGAAAGAGATTCTGCATAGGTCACCTTATAGATCTGAGCAACAGGAGGAAACACCTCTGAAGCAGACACCCCCCTCCATTTCTTCCGAAGATAGGTAAGGCAAAAGAAGTTGTTCAAGGACCAGTA